GAATAGTTATTTTTGGCAAGGAATAACTTTTGATGAATCTCTTATGTGCTAATAACCCTTATAGAGCTGAAGGTAGTTAGTTTGGACTCTATTGGCAATGACAAGGCTGACCTGTGATTTAATGCCAATCAGTACTCAGTTTTCTCCCTAGTCAGTCAGCCAATTCTAAAGTTGGCTGGAGGGCCGGCCTGTGGCTCACTCGGGAGAGTGCGGTGCTGATGGCACCAAGGCCACGGGTTCGGATCCCATATGGGGATGGCCGGTTGGCTCACTGGGTGAGCGTGGTGCTGACAACACCAAGTCAAGGGTTAAGATCCCCTTACCGGTCATCTTTAAAATAAATAAATAAATAAATAAAGTTGGCTGGAATATAACAGGACCTTAGAAGCACAAATGTGACTGTTTCAATACTGTACTGAATGTACTGCCGAAGGGATTTTACAATACACCATTTGATTCACCACTGAATGAAATAAAAGCTGTGATAACTGAAAGAAGGGGAAAAAAAAACACGGTAAGCCTTATGACTGCCCAGCTTTTTGTCTGGAGAGTTTCTAGGCCCCAGTACAAGGAAGGAGAACCTAGATGCCAGTGGTTCCCTGAGTTGAAAACTCAGGCCAACACAGTCAGAATTCACAGAGCAGAGTGCCTGAGAGGGGAGACCTGAACAAAGAGAGTGCTCTGGAGATCAGGAGAGAGCTGCCCTTTCTCTGAGTGCTGATGAGCATATACATGAGAAAACACTCTGAAGCTTAGAAAACTACCTGTGACCTGCTGAGAGGCTCTAAGTAAGAGCAGGTAGAACAATTCCCAGAACTCACACAGGGCTTAAAATAGTTCACTCCCAATACTCTCGAAATATATGGGCCATCAGGTAAAGTTCACAGAAGGATATTGTCTCAATAGTGGAGCTAAACTAATTTAGTGGGAATAATCATGGACTATAGGTTGCTCTAGTCCTGCCTAACAAATTGTAAAAGCAAGCACTGAGACACTGTTTCCAAGTAATTTAACTGTCTCAAAGCAAAGCTCAAAAATATTTAAAGGAACAAAAAAAAAAAAAATCAGCAACCACCAGTGTAAAATCCAACATAATGTCTGACATCCAACAAAAAGTTACCCCTGTGCCAGCCAACTGCCAAAAAAAAAAAAAAAAGTTACAAAGAAGCACAACTAATGAGGAAAAAAAACCAATCAACAGAAACAGACCCAGAAATTACACAGATGATAAAACTAGTAGACAAAGACATCAAAATACCTATCATTAATACTCCAGATGTTCAAGAAGGAAGAAAAAAGCACGAGCATGTTACAAACATGGAAGACATTAAAAACAAACCAAAAAAAAACCCCAAACTAAATTTCTGAGATTAAAATGCATTCTAAATGTATCTCTGACTCAGTCCAGCCTCCACACTGCACATTTTATCCTTTCTTCAGAATAAAGGATAATCAAAATAGATGCCAAAAATCTTTGTCACACAATATAGAAAAAGATATTTACATACAAGATACATAAATACATACATACATTTCAAAATACATAAAAGATACTATGTCCTTATTCAGACCCTTTTATTTTTCCACATTACAATGACTTAGGTTGCCTAATTTCCCAGCCCATAATAAATGAGAAGCAGAAAATCATGTGTCTGTATAGGCTACTAAAGGTAAATGTACTGAAAGTTATCAAGAGTGACAGCAAAAAAAACCTTATAACAAAGATGATAACACAATTAAACACAGACACAGCAACCCCACACATTTACTAGAGAGCCAAGCAGCTACATACTTTACTCTTTAAGACACTAAAAGCTCAAAGACTATCAGAAAGTATCTTTTTTTTACCATTCAAACTGACTAAAAAATATAAGGAAATACCCATGACCTGGAAGTTTAAGTGAAAAACTTTTTCAAGTCTTTCATCAGTGACCACTATATGAAAGCGTTACTGTATTTCACTCCACAATGCACTGTGGGTTCTTTTTTTAAAATCTGGCTTTACTAGCATTTTTATCCACTTGATTATGTATTCTACACTTTTCAACAACTTTAAAGGGCCAGACCTTGTCTGTTTTTCTGTTTGTTGTTTTATTTTACACAAAACTATCACTGAAAAGAATGAAACTGCACTAGCTACAGAAAGGGCAGCGATGCAAAGGAAGTGGGATTCTTGTACACTGTTGATGGGGGTGTAAAGTAGTACAGCCATTATGGTAAACAATATGGAGGTTCCTCAAAAAACTAAAAATAGAACTACCATATGATCCTTTGATTAGAATGTGGTGCTGGTAACAACAAGGTCCAGCATTTGATCCCTTGTACCAGCCAGCCACCAGGGGGGAAAAAAAACCCAGCTGGCTGGTTTGCTCAGTTGGTTAGAGCACGGTGTTATAATACTGAGGTCAAAGGGTTCAGATCCCCATATCAGCCAGATACCAAAAAAAACAAAGAAAGAAAGAAAGAAATACCATATGATCCAGCGATCCCAAAGGAAAGAAAATCAGTATATCAAAGTGATATCTGCACCTCCATGTCTATTGCAGCACTATTCACAACAGCCAAGATTTGGAATCAACTTAAGTGTCCACCAATGGAGGAATGGATAAAGAAAATACAGTACATATACACAATAGAATATAATTCAACCATAAAAAAAGAATGAAATCCTGTCATTAGCAGCAACATGGATGAGCCTGGAGGACAGTATGTTAAGTAAAATAAAATTGATCCCATGGAGGTTAAGAGTAGAATAGTGGTTATCAGAGGCTGAAAAGGGTGGGAATGGAAGGGTGGTAAAGAAACACTGTTTAATGGCTAAAAAAATACAATTAGATAGAAGGAATAAGTTCTAGTGTTTGAGAGCACAGTAGGGTGACTACAGTTAACAATAATTCATTATATATTTCAAAATAGCTGGAAGAAAAAATATGGAATGTTCCCAACATAAAGAAATTACAAATGTATGAAGTAATAGATAACCCAACTACTCTGACTTGATCATTAGACATTGTAAACATGTATCAAATTATCACATGTACCCCATAAATATGTACAATTATAAATTACATCAAAGAAAAAAGGGCAGCAACATAGAATCTCACCTACTTATTATTCTACCTCTTTTTGCCTACAATGGAGGTTCTGAAGGTGTTTACAAACAACCCTAGTTCTTCCACCATTGAACAATATAAAAATTACTGGGATTAATATCAGAAGCCATTAATATTATAAATACAGAAGGAATGACAAAATTAGAAACAACACTTTTACAAACACCAATGTTAACAACTGATTCAACAACAATTACCAATGGCTGCTAGAACCAAGGAGTGGAAGGAAGGTGCTGAAAAAACAGAATAGACACAGTCTCAAAGTATCACCCCACAGACTTCTTTCTAATTAAAGGGGGATGAGGTTCTTTTGCAAAGGAGAGAGAAACATGAGGATCACCATCTTAGCCAAGTGATCAAAGAGCTGACAGGATCAATATTGGACACTTAATATTATATCCCTTGATGTGATATAGTAAGAAGGGCCCATCATCTATGAAGTATTCTTGCTAAAAATGTTTAATCTGAATCTCATTATGAAGAAAAAAATCAGACAAATACAAAATGTAGGAGAAACACTGTATGGAAAACTAGCCTGGCCTCTTCAAAAGAATAAACTATGTCATAAAAAACAAAAAAAGGTAAGGGAATTGTTCTGGATTAAGAGAATAAAGAGACAAATCAAATGCAATGCATAAACTTAACTGAATCCTCAATCAAAAAATAAAACAGCTTGGGCCAGCCCGGTGGCACACTGGAGAGTGCGCCGCTTGGGAGCGCAATGGCGCTCCCGCCGAGGATTCGGATCCCATGTGGAGACCGGTTCCCGCTCACTGGCTGAGCGTGGTGCGGGCGCAACACCGAGGGTTGCAATCCCGTTACCAGTCAGTAAAAAAAGACAAAAAGGAAAAAAATAAATAAAATAAAATAAAACAGCTATAAAAGAAATTTTTAGAACTGGGAATACCTGAACACGGACTATGTATCTCAGATGATGATACAGTACTATTAATTCTTTTAAGAGTGATATTGGTATTGTGGTAATACAGATAATGGCTTATTCTCAAGAAATAAATGCTGAAAGATCCTGTGTCATGATATTACAACTTCAAGTGGTTCAGCAAAAAAGAATAAAAAATGCATTTATGGATATATGTTTGTGTGTGTGTGTGTGTGTGTGTGTGTGTGTGTGTGTGTATATATATATATATACACTGTGTGTTTTGAGAAAGACAAAGTGTAGGAGAGAGAAATAAAGTAAATATGGAAAAATATTAACAATTACTGAATCTAGATAAACGGTATGTGGATATTTACTATTCTTTCAACTTTTCTGTAAGTTTGAATTTTCAAAATAAGGAAAAGGAAGAGAAGGGCCAGCCCGTGGCTCACTTGGAAGAGTGCGGTGCTGCTAACACCAAGGCCACGGGTTCAGATCCTATATATATAGGGATGGCCAGTTAGCTCACTTGGGAGAGTGTGGTGCTGACAACATCAAGTCAAGGGTTGAGATCCCCTTACCGGTCATCTTTTTAAAAAAGAAAAAAGAAAAAGGAAGAGAAAGGTCATTAACACTCTCTGAACACACAGAGAAGGGGAGTAGTACTATACTGAATAAAAGTCACCTTGTAATTAAATGCTCAAAGAATAATCTGAACATACATGGAAATTTGTCTATGACTCCAACTTGCCATTTGCAAACAGCACTTTCTTCCTAGAAACAGGATTTTTACCAACTCTGTGTATATTTCTTGGAAAAGATGAAACAAAGGGCTACCTAAACTCAATTCAACTACCTAGAAGAAAGAATAAAATAGGTAAGGTTATTTCAGGTAATTAGTATATTGGAAGATAAGAATATTTCTATCTTTCTTCATGCAATAGGTCAAAAGAACAGGAGAAATCAGTCCATATTCAGGCAAAGAACATTTAAGTTGATCATCTTACCTCCTAAATCCTAGAATTAGGCTGCTTCTCAAAGAATTAAGTGAAAAAGGCAATGTATTTGATTCCACTGCAAAAGAAAATAATCATCACTAAATCTCAGGCCAAACAAACTAAAAAAACCTTAAAACATCAACTTATTTGAAAACATATTTATACCAATACCTTTTAATTTCCATTTTGGAAATTTTATTTAAAAAATGAAAATGTTTTCATATGAAATTAATATAATATAATAATAATAATGAAGTAATATATATAATAATATATTTGTAGATGAGCTATCCCTCTAAAGCATTTTTACTTAATTTTCATGAATATATATGAGGGTACTTCAAAAAGTTTGTGGAATGGGCAGGCCCGGTGGCACACTGGATAAGTGCGCCACTTGGGAAGCGCAGCGGCGCTCCCGCCCGAGGGTTCGGATCCCACATACAGACCGGTTCCCGCTCACTGGCTGAGCGAGGCGCGGGGGCAACGCCGAGGGTTGCAATCCCGTTGCCGGTCCCCGGTCCGGTACGGGGGCAACACTGAGGGTTGCAATCCGTTGCCGGACACCGAAAAAAGACAAAAAAAAAAAAAAAAAAAAAAAAAAAAAAAGTTTGTGGAAAAATAGTATTAAAAGATAATACAGGGCCGGCCCGGTGGCGCACTGCTACAGTGCGCCGCTTGGGAGTGTGGCAGCGCTCCCG